CCAATGGGCAATATAAGTCTCCGAGTAGAAGTGCTGACAACTATCAGCACGTGCCTTCCGAACATAACCTAACCTAGTGTGGGTTAAAATTTTCACACATATGCTCGCCATAAAAATGTATATATCTCGTACAAATCATCCGAGTTATATGTAAATTGATCTCTTAAAATAAACATTTTTAGTAAGTACATGATTTTTGCCATCCATCGAGAATCTAAGATGGCTAGGAGTGACTAGGAGTGATAAATTGAATCGTTCTGTCTGCGTTATCCCAATTTTGTTGAACTGTGACTACAGATTCAACTTTCATTTTGAGACAAATTTCTTCATCGAAATTATTCCAATTAAAATCATTGGAATTTTTAGTCGTTCTTGCTTCGTTTGCTAAAAGGATATTAATTTCAGACATACTTCCTGTACGACCATTTTCTCTTTGCTTACGAAAAATTTCTTGTTTTGACTACATTTTCAATTCTACTTAAATATCTATATAATTTATTAAGTAGAAATGTATTAGTTTTATTTTTTATTTATGTTTCTTCCGTTTCATGTAAACATTTGCGATTGCATTGTGCATGCCAGCTATAAAAGGTATGAAATAGAAAACAGAGCACAGTCGCTCAACTAATTATTGTGTTTTGCGCATAATTTTTAACCGATTTTGCTCATCAATATCTTATTAAAAAAATATTTTAATTATCTATCAAATGAGTATATATTAATAATTGTTGAAATAAGTAACAAAGATAAAAAATGAGCTTGAATTGAAAAATTTCTGTTTTTTATACTAAAAAACCAACTTTGCTCGAGTAGCGCAACGTCATTTTTTATCCTATTGCTCCAAAACTTTGGGAATATCATTTTTTTAGTCAATGGCATATTCCTAGGGGGTGCGCTTATTAAAAATCGCATTTTAGTTTTTCTGAGCCACCCTACTGTCCCACATATAATGCATTCTGTGCCGAAGTGTGATACATTTTTAACAGATGCTTTGTTGCAAATGGATGAGTTTCGGTTTAAGCGCTATATGCGCGTTAATTGGGCAACATTCGGAAAAATACTTAATTCTGTTAAGAATGATGAAGTATTCAATGGTGCTCCCGCAAGTCAACAGTTTCCTGTAAAAATACAACTGATGATAGTATTGTATAGGCTTGGCTCAAGCGGGGAAAGTGCTTCAATTGGAAAAGTGGCTGCACTCTTTGGTGTAGGTGATGGTGGCATAATAGAAAATATTACAAGAACAGTATTTGATATCATTCTTAAAGTGAAAGACTGTTATTTATATTGGCCCAGTAGCGAGGAACGTAACCAAATTGTTTCCGAAACAATGCATGAACTGCCAATTGCATCGGTTACGTGGACTACATAGAGATAAAATTAGCTGAAAAGCCTACTAAAGAAGCGTACTCCAGAAGCGTACATTTCGCGGAAGCAAATTTACAGCTATAAAGTACAAGTAATTTGCGACAAACAAAAAAAAATTCGACGTATGGTGGTAGGCTGGCCAGGATGCGTTCACGACAGCAGAATATTTATTTTTATGTAAATCTTATATATATTTTATATTTCTATATTACATAAATTTAGTATTTAAAACTAATAACTAAAACTATTATTTAAAACTATATATATAACATATATATAACTAAAATTTAAAATGAAATCATATAAAAATATCATTTTCCTAAATATTGAATATTTGTTGTTGTTATTTTCATCAATATCCAACGTTACTTTTACAATTTCTGATTTTTGTATTTCAAATCAATTTCGTATTTTTTGAGTTCAAGCTTAAGTTTTAATTTTTCCAGCTCCAATTCTTTTTGAGCTTCTAATTCCATTTTTTTTCATTTGAAGAGCTTGTGCTCTGTCTAATTCGGCGTTTTCCTTCATAATATTAAGTTTCTGTTCCTCCATTTCGATTCTGCGTTGTTGTAACGCAATAATGAAGGATGTATAATCGCGTTGTGCGTAACTAGATCTTTTTCGATTCATTCCACGCATTCTAGATGATGTTGGTGAAGTTGGAGAATCTTTCACTGCACTGGACGAATCGGTTTCATTTCGGACATTTGTGGGCATAGCAATAGCTTCTACTTCTGGTGGGTTTATAAGACACTCCACAAAAGCATCAGATTCAACAATGTTGACGTTCACATTGCTACTGTTACTTTTGGCCATTATTTTTAAGTAAAATAATTGTGCAGTTGCTTTCTACCACATCTCCCCACTTAAACGCTTCAGAGTAACGGATGCGTTTGGATACTGATGCTTTATCCTAAAAAAACAATTATTGCATTTAATATTTGAATCATTATATTATAATATACTTTGAACTACTTATTTGACTTTCCATTTTATTTATTTTTATATTTATTATTACTTTATAAGAAATTTTTTAAATTTAATATGATATTATAAAACACATGTGTTTGCAAAATTGTTTACACACAATTCAAACAGCTGAGAGAGACAGCTAACAAATTTCTATACAAAAGTCCATTTTAATTTATTATTACATGTTCAAATTTACTCAATTCTTTTGTTACATATTGAATGGAATATTCAATTTTATACTTTATATTTTATGTTTTATATATATGTTATATTTTATCCCTTTAAAAATTATAGTTTTACTAAATTTTATTTATTAATTTATGTTATTATTTTTGAATTTTCTTTTTGAGACACCCTATACTCCTAGCGACGACTCTTGGTACTGGCAGCACTATTAATCAAATTTGTACTAATCTGAGAATCTCCGAAATAGTTAATTCTCTGTTTAGTTTCATTTTTGTATGCAAATTTTTGTTGTAATCATCTAATAAGCAACTAATCAGTTGCCTGAATACCCCTATTGTAATCAATAGATTATTTACAATGAAATCATATTTAATACATTATTAAATGGAAATTGAAGATTACTTGTAATCAATTAATTAATTATTAGCTATATCATATTTGCATTCATATCATATTTAAATCATATTTTAAATTCTACATCATATTTACTTAAAATTATACCTATAAAGAATATACAAATAAAATTATAAAAAAATTGATTATTTAAGATTAAAATTTAAATTTACGAATGAATTTTTATCCAAACAATTTCGTAACTTAATTTTGTAATTATATAATTTAGTCACTTAATTATTGAAAATTAAAATTTAAATTTATGAATGAATTTTTGTACTTAAGTAACTTTATATTTTATAATAATAATTATAACTGAATATCTAAAATCTTGTAGTTAATAAATTAATTATTTAAAATTATAATTAAATTTTATGAATGAATTGTAATCAAATTTTATATTTAAGTCTAAGTATATTACGAATTTATGTAATTTATTTAATTCAGTAAAAGATGGTAGCTGTAGGTGGGAGTGTTGGGTTCTTTTTTGTGGAGTGGAGCACGGATGCGGTGAGTGGAACTAAGTACAGGGGCCCAAACGAGGACGTTTGAAATTAGTAAGGGAGGAGTTAACACACGCGTCTTCCAAATCCGGCCCTGTGCTTAGTTTCATTAACGAAGCAATCATGCGATATTATTCAAACGCATGATTCCTACCAAACAGGACATCAACTTGTTTGTCTGGAATAGTCCCGTTTAGCTTCGGTAGCTCTCAACTTCGCAAAAGTACATTTTTATAAATTATAAAAATGTAATGGTTAGCTTATTTAAATTGGAACATATGTGTCTTAAGGAATACTATTGATATCCCATTACACTGTGTTTAATTTTTTTTTAAAGAATAATTGTTAAGTTTTTATATTAGAACTTTATTGATGTTTTTTTTGGTTAAAATTAATTAGAAAACAAAAATTAATTTCAGCAAAAGTGAAATAAGTTATGCGAAATTTAAGAAAAATTTTGTGGATATCCGTAGACTTTTTCTGCTAGGTTTACGTTCATTTACATTTTGTAACAAACAAAAATTTTGTTTTGTAATTATATAGAATTTTAAACTAACAATACAGCTATTTCGAGTATCTTCAAATGTTCATTATTAATGATTTTAGTAATATTCGTTGTTTTGAACAATCCGTATATAATAAACATTTAGAATTCTGTATGGGTATTTTGTAAAAACAAAATTGACTTGGTACGTTTTGTACCAAATATGCGTACATGTTTTATCGTCTACATTAAGCTGTAGGTATTACATTATAGTTGAAGCCACTCTATTGATACGAATGGTCGTAAGAAATTGCAACCTTTACACGAATTAAATCTCGAAAATCTAACGTTTAGCTGAATATAAATTATCTGCTTTTTCTATACATTTTTATAGTTCGCTATATTAGTCCGGTGGTTTATTTATTTTGAATGTCTCTGTACAGATGCCGATAATGCTGAACATCCGAATTCAGTGTTTGTCGCAAAAAATTCACAGAAGATATCAGAACGGAACCATTAAAAAATTGAAATTGAAGAGTATATTTATTGTAAGTCTGTTTACTGAGTTGCTTATATACAACAAGAAATATTGGGTAATATAAAATGAATCCGTGGTTTTTTGTCATTAGTGTTGGTACGCATATATCTGGCATCATGAATCCGATTATGTCATTTCAGGCCAAATTTTTTGTTATGGCAGTCATCAGTGAAGTATCTGCAAGAACATGCCTAAAAATTTGTAAGGTTTACGGTAAGGATGCTGTAAGTTAACATCAGACCTAATAGTTGTGTACTCGTTTCCGTTCCGCAAATTTCGATATCAAAAATCATGTTTTGGTCAGCTAATTACTAAAATAGCGGATAAAATATTGCAACTGGAGAAGCTATGAAACATCAATCATAAACAGCTTGGAATTATTTAAAAAGAACAAGTTGCACAATGACTTTTCGGTACTATATGAATTAATGCAAAAAAATTTGATTTGCATCATTGAAACACTATTGTCACGAAAGAAAATTGAGCCAATTTTAAGGCGAATCAGTACGGGAGATGAAATATAGATTACAAACATAGTTTAGAAAATATCATTGTAATGTTTCGATCATGCTCTACAAATAACTTTAAACATTGGATTGATAGCACACTAGGTTATGCTGAGTGCTTAGTAAGATTGGAAGAGAATTGTATTTACGTGCAGTTCCAGCTTGCTGTAAAAGGTAATTCTGTAAAAGGTGCTGTATTCCCAGCACCACAACAACAAAACCTTAAAACTTTCCCTGTGGAAACCAGACACCCAACACAGTATAATGAACAACGGCAATCTGAAGAAGGCCTAGTAACTAAAATCACCAACATATTCCATGAAGCAAAGATTACATATGAAAATACTAGCCCAAATCACAGAAAGTATATACAAAAACTAAAACCAAATAAGTTAATATACCAAATAACAACTATTCTCAATACAATATTACTCCCAAGAGAATTCTCAAAAAATCCCAACTACAACAAAATCCTAGATCTTCTCTATTGTAGTGCATACACAATCGAAAGAACTAGTACACTGCTAATTAATAAAAGAAACGTGCAAAATCAGACTCAAACCGCAAACAGAAGTTACCACAATAGCTCTGATAATAGAACATCAATAAATTAGATAATATCAACAAATATAAACAGCGTTCAGTCAGAAAATGCAAGATTACAAAACTCTAACAATAGTGAGAATGACAACCAGAACCAACTAACTAATAGAAGAACAAGAAATCGCAGTAACAACAATGAACCGCGAAATAGAAGGGTACAAAATATAATAAATCATATGCAACTTAATGATCCCGAAGTCAGCAACATGACACCACCACGTAATCTAAGACGGAAGCAAAACAGCAATACAAATAACCGAAACCCTCCGTGGATTAGAAGACTTGAGAGGAAAATAGAAGAATTGAGAAAGGACATAGACATACTCAATGAAGAACGAAATAACCATTTAAATAGAAGAAAACAAAATAAAATCAATAGGATAAAACGAAAATATCTAATACGTACGCCACATGAAGCTCTTAATGCCACAACTGAAAAAATACTAGACACTGCTAAACAAAAATTAGCCAAAGTCGTTGACAAACTACGACGGTTCCGTAAAAGCTTTGAAAGAGCAACACATAACCAAATTTTTAATAGTAATGAGAGAAGATTTTATAATTCCATCAAACAAACAACAAATAACGTCACTAACAATAATCAAGTGGAAATTAACGCCATAGAAACATTCTGGGGCAAAGAAGTCATGCACAACACCAACGCAATTAGGAAGCAAGAACTACACCAAGCAGCAAATAACATCGCCTCAATGACTGAAAATACAATTACCACCGAAATATTTCAGATAGCCATAAAAAAGCTACAAAGCACATAATACATGATAAAGCACATAATTTCTACTTTAAATACCTAACTACACTACATGCACCACTAATACAAATTTTTAACAATTTTGTAATTAGCCCAAATGAAATACCAGCTACGTTTCCTATGGGAATAACATATCTGATACCTAAAACTGAGAAACCAGACAATCCATCCCAGTTCAGGCCAATTACGTGCCTAAATACAGGATATAAAATGTTCACATCCTGCATCTTAATAACCATTAACAACCACTGTAAACATAACAGCATTCTCGCTGAAGAACAAAAAGAAAGTAGGGAAAGAACGAAAGGATGCAAAGACCAGTTGGTAATCGATAGTATTATAACCAAACAGGCTATAAAAAACAAGAAATCTTTACGCTCCTTTTATTGACTATCAGAAAGCATTCGATTTAGTCCCGCATTCCTGGCTTTTAGAAATACTGGGCGTATACAAAATACACCTCAAATGCAAAAACTGCGTTGAAAGAGTTATGAAGTTATGGAAAACTACGCTCAATTTAAAAACAGACATTGACTGTAGCAGTAATTCAAATCCAATAGTAATTAAACGAGGAATCTATCAAGGAGAGTCCGCTTTTATTTTGTTTGTCTCGTAGCCCGCTATCATTACTCCTTAAGAATAGTCGATATGGATATAAATTGATTCTTTCTATATGGATGATTTGAAAGTATATACAAATACGAAATAAAATCTATATAAACTACTCAAAATCGTAGAAACCTTTCCGAAGATATAAAAATGAAATTTGGGATTGATAAATGTAAGATCCAAAATATTGTTAAGAGGAAATACTCAAAGATGGAATCATATACAACAATGAACAGCGAACAGATAATAACACTTAATAAAATTGAACATTACAAATTTTTGGGATTTAATCAACACATAACAATTGATCATGCAGTTCAAAAAGATGGAATAACCAAAGAATTCCAAGGAATTTACAAAATAGCCCAAACATCAAACCTGTTTAGATCTTTAATAGAAGCAGATGACAAACTTACACCCCTTAATCTGAAAAATAACATTCAACCAAATCTGATTAATATAAACAGCTTAGTTACAACCTGGAAGTCAAATTTTATTCATGGCCAGCACCCAAACGAAATAGAAAAACAACATATAGACATGGAATATACAAATAAATGGCTCACAATAGGAATAATGTTCCGAGAAACTGAAGGCTTTATCCTGGCTATTCAAGACGGAATAATAAAAACAAGAAATTACGCAAAATACATATTAAAAACACCAAATCTAATGGACGACAGCGGTGTGCTCAAGCACCAGAGACGATTTCGCACATAATAAATAGTTGCTCAATGATAATAAATACAAAAGACAAACAACGCCATGACAATATGGGAAAAATAGTGCACATTAATATACTGCAAACTCTAAAAATAGCTAATGTAGAGACACCATATTACAAATATAAGTAAAAATACTACCAATAATAATAAGCTCCACAGGGCTAGGGCCGAAAACAACAATAATTTCACTTACACATTTAAATTTAAAACCGTTAATCATATCCCAAATGCAAAAAACGTTGTTGAGCGCGGGGAACATAATGAGGGAAATAATCGTCTAAGGGTGTAAAACTTGGATTACACTCCAACAGAGCGTATATCCTTTGGTCAATGACCCGGTATACGTTAATACCAGTCAATTGTATTAATACCTGACTGTGTGTAATTCAAATAATATTAATAAGAAGCCTTGCTCGACATCTATGATTTCGTGCAGCCTCTTATACTGGGGGGCCGCAACGCTACGTCCTTTATATCTGTAATGTTGTTTAATCTTTTTCCTATAGGCTGCAAAGTGGTGTTTGTTTTATTCAACGTTGATCTTCTCCATGTTGTTTTTGAACGACCTCTCCCTCTATTACCTTGCGGGTTGTATAACAGCGCCTGTTGACAAATTTCGGTGGGAGCCTTTCGAAGTGTATGGTCGATCCATTCAATTTTTCTTTTACGAATTTCAAGGTTGACATCTCTAACATTTGTTCTGGTCCAAAGGTCTTGATTTGATATTTTGTTTGGCCAGAAAATACGTAAAATTCTGCGGAGACAGCGGTTAACAAATACTCTCAGCTTGCTTTGTATGTTTTCTGTTACAAACCAAATTTCGCAACCATATAAGAGAACTGAAAGAACGCATGCTTTAAAGATTTTTATCTTTGTATTTAAGCACCAAGGGCTTTCTTTATTCTACTTATCACATCTTGCGCTGTACCTCCATTTTCAGACACAATACTCGCTAGATACTGGAATTCATTACGCGCTCAATGGTCTCCGTTTCCAACTTCAAAGGTTCGTCAATTCGGTTGTTTATTCGAATTTCTTTTGTTTTCTGTGCATTGAACTCTAAAGATAGGTCATTAAGTTTCTGTTGCATGTCATCAAGCCAATGTGACAACTCGCATTTGTCGTCAGCATAGTCCAAACACTCTAGCCTAGTGTTCGGTGACACTGGGTTCCATACAATACCTCGTACCTTTCCTTTATTTGCTCTCTTGACCACTGCGTCAAGCAGTACTACAATGGGGAAAGGACGCATCCTTGACGTACGCCAGAAATTGTACAAAAGGGCTCAGACAGTTTGTTGTCGTGTAAAACTGAGCACTTAAATTAATCGTAGCTTTTTGCAATTACGTAGACTACTTTAGCCGGGACTATTTTTCAACTCTGCCCATATGCAATTTCGATTTAACGAATCAAAGGCCTTTTCAAAATCGATGAAAAGCAGATAAAGGGGGGGAGGGGGGTGGGGTCTCGCATCTCTATAGATTGTTTTATGATAATTCTAAGATTTAATATGGTCAACACAGGATTTTCCGCTTCTGAAATCTGCTTGCTGTAGTCGTAGTAGTACAGTTGTTGTAAAAGTTGTTGTTTTACCATTCTTTCCAGAATAATTTCTAGAATCATTTTCATCATTTTCATATTTTAGAATCATAATGCCGCGCCAGTTGTTACAGTCACTTCGGTCTCCTTTCTTGGGTAATTTAATTACAATGCCATGCAGCCAGTCAGGTGGACAAGTTTCTATTTCTCAAATGGTTTTGAAGAGTGGATATACGATATCCGTTGTTAGTTGCAAAACCAACTTTCACCGCTTTGGCCGGAATATTGTCGAAACCTGCAGCTTTTCCGTTTTTCAGCAATTGTATTGCATTGGTTATTTCTTTTTTTGAGGGATGCTCAACCCTAATCGGTAACTCACGTTGTCATTTTGCGTTATCACGATACCTTCACGTTCTAGGTTCACTATTTGAATAAAATGTTGACGTCATCGGTTTAGCTGATCATTTACGTTTGTCAGTAGCTCACCAAAGAGATTCTTGACATGGAGGGTTCTTTTGACGCTCTCGTCTGTTAGTTTTTTTTTTATATCAAAGAGATTCTTCATATTATTTGATGCCGCTGCATTTTCCGCTTCCTTTGGCATTTTGTTAGAGAATTCTTTCTTATCGTCCCAAATTGCCCTTTTGACACGTTTGTTCAGATGTGTGTATTCCGTTTGCGCTCTCTTTCGATCATTAGGCTTCTTTATGGCCTTTATCTCATTTTTGAACTTTGCTCGTTGTTCTATCATTATCCAAGTTTACGCTGAGATGAAGTCTTCTTTGGTATTATTTGACGCTCTACCTAAGGTTTCCATACAAAACGGTGTAATTAAAAAACGAAATATAAATGTTCGTAATAATATCTACATTCAGCAGAAAAACTCTGCCTACAGAAAGTCAATTTTGTTTCTACATATAAAAAATTAGTAATTAAATAAATTGTTTAATTCAGTTTTAATTTTTATTACTATTTTTATAATAGAAAAATATAACAATTAAAAATGTAAAAAATTAACGCTGTCGATGGCAGAAAAGTCTAAAAA